AGAGAACCCCATTATAACAAGGGAGGTACCCTGTTACAACCCGAGAGAACCCTGTTAGAATCAGGGGGAACCCCGTTGGAACCAGAGAGAACCCCATTAGACCAGGGGGGGCTCTGTTAGAAGGAGAGAGAGAACCCCGTTAAAAGTAATTAAGCATTTTATCATCATATGCAAGTGTAGTTGTATGAGTCTCTGGCAATCCTGCAAAGAGAATATCAAAAAGCCTGAGGTTAGATTTTTTATGGCGGTGCATGCCCATCAAAATAATTTGGAGTGCCTGGACCCAATTCAGACCAGTTTCTTCACCAATCTAATTTCTCTTTCAGCCGCTCCCCCTGCTCAATGCTTCATTAAGGTTAACATTAAACATTTCAGCATGTGTTGTACTATTTCACTTGCAAAATGTTAGGCTTCAATCCATCTTGAGAGCATATCTACACCACCAAGCAACAATTCTTTCCTTCACATGGGGTTAGTTCAATAACATCTATCATAAGATGTTAGAATGGAGCACAACTGCTTTTGTGGGCCCCCTGGCCCATCATTTTCTATCTAGAAATGTTGTGACATGCACAGATTAAACAATATTCAAAATACTTTGTTGCTATTTGAGAAAAAAATTAACTGAACCAATTTTTATCCATTTCCAAGTCCTCCCTTTTTGACGCATGGTCCCCCATGGGTCAAAAGACAAAAGGGATGGAAAATATGTTTAGGGTACCATTTAAGCCCAACCAGATGTTATTTAAAAAAAAAAAAAAGAAAAAAAAAAAAGGTAAATTCTAAGGGTTTCATTTGTCCAGTTCAGATGACAGAACAAAGGACCTCATCTTAGCAAAGGTTGGGGCATGCAGCAGCCTCTTTAGCAGCCGTTCAGTTCACAGGTTTGGGCAGATAATTAAGTAAATACTTCAGCCTCATAGATCAGCCATGAAGGAATGATGCAGAATAGGCTGCCCCTCAGATTTAAGAAGAAAGAGGGAGCCCAAAAAAACTAGACTGACATAGCTTGAATGGCTAAACTGAAGTATTTAATGATAGCAACAATGGATTCATTTTAGTATCATTATTGTCAAATTTTATATGATTATATAAACCCTTATAGAAATCTACCCCCTTCAACACATGTTTTCTCATGTGTCAAAAATAACCAGAATGTTCTATGGGTGTGATGATCCGGAAAGGAAAAGCATTTCAGATCCAGAGAAATACGGTATTAAGGGGCCCCTATTTTATTATTTACATTATTATTATTTACATTATTATTTATTTATTATTTTAACCCTAACCCTAACACTGTTATGAGGTGGGACTTCCTCAGGTGTTGTTTACTGAATGCAAAATTATGAAATTAATGATTTTTAGGTATGACAAGGTGGGGGTACGAAAGGGGTTTGATTAGAATCACCCACAGTGTCTTAAGCAATGCTGGGATAGCAGTGTAGTAACCATCACAAACGCGCAGAAGATGTGACAGTCCTGTTATTACAACATTTAATCTGGAGAAGAAAAGGAAACTATTGCCAATTTGTTACCAAATTATCGGAGCAATACAAAAATCAACAGTCTCCCTGCTCATCCACTATTCATGGTTAAACAGAGAAAATGGACTGGAAAACACCAGAGTGGGAGCCATTACAAATTTTTTCTTAGGCACCTTAGGTAAAAAAAAAAAAAAAACTCTCCAGAGGTTATATATTATGAGGTTAGAAAACAGGCCTATTTTATATTAAATAATCCTCAGAGATCTCTAACACAGCACATCATTAAAGAAAGGTACCTATAGATAAGAGAAAGGTAGAAAGTTTTGCTACAGTAGCCTACCTTATATCAGAGAAAGCTTATTAAAACCTGACCAAACTGTTATTGAGACTTATAGTAACTGGATATCCATTATTACATGGAAAAGGAATATCAATTCAAATGTGAGACCAGCAACTCACCAGAATAAAACATAAAAAAAATTAAGGAAACCAATATATGTCTCTAAAATTTACTTTGTGGATGTGTGTGTGTTACTTGCAGTCTGTCGAACCGGGGTTCGCTCCAACGGCTCCCTCACTAGTCGGTAGAGTAACCTTGCTTTGGTGCCTGATATCCCCCTTGCTGAGAATGGCTTGTCTGTCCTCTCTGGCCTCCATGGTAGGGTGGTGGACCCCCATGATGAACTGAGCCTCTGCCACATCCTCCTCTGCCCCCATGTTTTTTGTGGAAAGTCTCTGGCGCAGTGATCAGGTTTGCCACAGATGTAGCAGCAACCATCATTTGGAGAGCTATTCTCATCTGAGGGCTGCATGGAGAACAGTTTGAACAGTTTAGTGGCAGTTTTTGAGGAGAGTCAGCTGTGCCGCAGTCTTTTATTTTATTTTCCCGTTGCACATATTTTCTATCTCAGTCCCTCAACTGTCCTCAACAGTCCCTCCTTGAATGAAGCTGATCCATATGGGCTGTTTGCAGTCTGTTGAGGATAGTGGCTCCTATTTAGTGACTGGAGCAAAGGTGATAGGATGGATCCCCGTAGTTGGCCCCAGGGATACTACAGTCTGGTCGTGAGACTAGTTGGGGGTCAAATGATTGTCTCACATCCCGCCCGTCGTCTTCCTCCACTGGTTCGGCTCTCTGAGATCCAGGGCAATAAAAGTCAGATTTGTAGCCTTCGGTTGATGAGTTGGAGGTAGAGCAGAGAGCAGCAGACTCATGGTAAACTGGGATACAGGCTGGAGGTGCTCAGTGGTGCCGTTGGAGACAAACCCGCAGCCACAACAGCCGAAGCAAAAATAGTTAAAGAGAAAAGATGTGCATTAGTAAAAAGAACAACAGTGAGTTTTCGTAAGTTGTTCCTGTCATTACATTATGTGTTATATTCTATTATGAGATGTTTTTCTTTTTCTTATTTTGAAGGCTCATAATTACTCCGGATTGTTGTTTTCTCTTTGTATTTTGTTGCAACACTCGGTCTACTTTCCTTAGTAAAACCTACAACCTCGGTCTTAAAAAAGACTTACCCTCAGCCTATGAGAGGCCTACATTTAAATCCTCTGTCTTAAAAAAGACTTGCCCTCAGCCTATTTAAGACCTACCTCGGTCAGTCTTTTCACTGCCTGCTTAATGTTATAACAATATTTTAGTTTTTTTTTTTTTACCTTTAAAGGAGTTTGTTAGTTTTCTTCCTTCTTCAGTCTCCTGAAGTTATTGTCCTGTCGAGATCGATCGACTCGGTGGAGCATCAGAAGAGTCCTTCTCTAAAATGGCCTATTTGAGGTAGAGGAAAAACCCAGATGGTTTTGGTGATCAGCCCTTCTTCTAGAATCCACCAAGCAGACGGATCAGCACAGGATCCTGTTTTCTTGACACCAATTTGTGAATTAAAAATGAGCACTGAGAGGCAATACACAAGGAAGAAAAGGTTTTATTCTACTCTGCAGAGGAGAACGACACAAACAATTGAACTGTTAATTGTGGCTCTGGTGAGGTAGCTGTCCACCCCTGCATATAAAGAGAATTCTCACACACGAACATTGAGTTTTCAGTTCATCAAGGACATGCATTTTAACCACGGCATGAAGGAGGCTTTGTGAACTCATTATCTCACATGACCTTCCCTTCACCCTTGTCTAGAGTAGGGAGGCATCTGCTTTCTGTCCCCCTAAACGGTACAGCATAGTGAATGTTCAGGATGTCTCTATCATTACCTCTATTACCAGGGGAAACCCCGTTAGAATCAGAGACAACCCCATTAGACCAGGGAACCACAGGGAACCCTGTCAAAACCACAGAGAACCCCATTAGACCAGGGAACCACAGGGAACTCTGTCAAAACCACAGAGAACCCTGTTACAACAAGGGGGAGCCTGTTGAAATGAGAGAGAGAACCCTGTTAGTACTAGGGGGGACCCAGTTCGAACCAGGGGAAACCCCTTCAGAACCAGAGAGTACCAAGTTAGAACCACAGGGAGACCCGTTAGAGCCAAGGGGGACCCTGTAAGAACTAGAGCGAATTTCGTTACAAGGGGGGACCCAGTTAGAACCAGAGGGAACCATGTTAAAACCACAGAGAACACAGTTACAGCAAGGGGCAACCCCGTTAGAACCAGAGATAACCCCCTTAGAACCAGAGAGGACCCCGTTAGAACCAGAGAGGACCCTGTTAGAACCAGAGAGAAACCCATAGAACCAGAAAGAACCCCGTTAGAACCAGAGAGGACCCCGTTAGAATCAGAGAGAACCCTGCTAGAACCAGAGAGAAACCCATTTAAACAAGGACGGACCTTGTTAGAACAAGAGAGAAAACCCAATTTACAACAATGCAGGACCATGATAGAACTAGATAAAAAGGTGTTGGAACCAGAGACAAACCTTTTAGAACCAGAAAGAACCCCGTTAGAACCAGAGAGGACCCCGTTAGAACCAGAGAGGACCCCGTTAGAATCAGAGAGGACCCCGTTAGAATCAGAGAGAACCCTGCTAGAACCAGAGAGAAACCCATTTAAACAAGGACAGACCGTGTTAGAACAAGAGAGAAAACCCAATTTACAACAATGCAGGACCATGATAGAACTAGATAAAAAGGTGTTGGAACCAGAGACAAACCTTTTAGAACCAGAAAGAACCCTGTTAGAACAAAACTTTTAGCCTGCCTCTCCAAATATTCCAGTGGTACAAACTTAAGTGATTTAATGTAATTTAATTTCACTTTATATTTATCCATAAAGATAATGAGGGATATTTATTTTCAATACTTTTATTTTGTAATTACATTTATTTATCCAATTCATTATTTTAAATATAATTTTCATTCTTTTACGTGACATTTAATGATTTGTGTGTTTTATGATTTTATAACTGTACAGTGGGTACGGAAAGTATTCAATCCCCTTTAAATTTTTCACTGTTTGTTTCATTGAAGTCATTTGCTAAAATCAATAAAGTTCATTTTACTTCTTATAAATGTACACTCGGCACCCCATCTTGACAGTGATTTATTTCATGATGTATTTTGACCCCCCCATGTACCTCAAAGATCACATCGATGAATGAAAACCATCTCCGGACCCTCACTTGGTGTCTCCTGACCTCCCGGTGGGTTACGACCCCCTACGTTGTGACCCTCTGGGTTAGAAGGTGTATGATTTTAGAAACATGACGCAGATCACTCATTGTATATATTTCACGCTGTATTTTTCAGGTACCGGCAGCCATCGGCCTTTGGTGACAGCTGTCCCTGAAGCTCCTGAAGATGTAACGTTTCCTCAGGTTTTACAGGTAAATATCAAGCAGCACAGCTTTTAGATCCAGGACCATCAGCAACACATGAGAGAAACTTTATGCTATGAGCAGAAGCTCCAAAAAATAACTGAAATCAACACCTCATTCATTAAAACTCCACAAAAGAAATGAAATGATAAAACAAATATTGTGAGCATTTTCATTCCATATAGATTGAACATAAAAACCCAACATTTCGATGAGTTAAAAAAGGAGCAGTGCTCCTCTGACTGCATAGCACAGTGGTGGGGGGATAATGGTTTGTTTTATGAGTACAGGGTTTAGGCTTCTTGTTTCATTAATAAATAAACAAAGAAACTCTAATATGTCAATGTTTACTAGGACTGAAGGCAAGGCAACAACTTTTTCTTCGAAACAATTAAGCTGAGTTTAAATTAAATTACCGGTAGATGTACATCCACAAAATATCTAGAGTGAAGCAGAATAGAAGTATTCACCAAAAATGAAGACAAATAAGCAACTTTTTCATACATTTTTTTGATGGGTCCAAAATATCTACAGTGAGCAAAATAAGTATTTGAACACACTGCTATTTCACAGAGAGAACCATGTTAGAACCAGAGAGAAGTATATCTGATATTCAGGTGTTCAAATACTTATTTGCAGCTGTTTCATACAAATATATAGTTTTAAAAAATCATATATTGTGATTTCCAGATTTTTTTTTTTTTTTTTTTTTTATGTCTCTCAAAGTGGACATGCACCTACGTTGGCAATTTCAGACCCCTCCATGATTTATAAGGTGGAGGACTTGCAAAATAGCAGTGTGTTCAAATACTTATTGTCCTCACTGTAGACATTTACTTCCGGTTACCATGACAACTTAGAACTGAAAGGATTCTGCACCAATAGGAACAGTAGGCTGAAGTCATGTGGGGCGGAGCTCCTATAGCCAGATCCTGGAGCAGGGAGGCGTAAAATAAGCCACTGATATGATACGATCTTACAAATAAACATCTGATATTTTTAAAGAAAATCAACCATGAACTTGTGAGCAGAGATGTAATGAGATGAGTGAAGGCCTTGAGGCGTGTGTCGAGTAATGGAGGGGGCGTTTCCGCGAAATACATATCGAGGCTTGCTTCATTTGGGGGAGGAGCCAAAATAGATGACGTCCGAAGCCTCACTACTCCACTGTACCACGTGACCGCTTTGGGAATTGGTTCATAAAGCGCAAAAACCTCGACAGGCATTTAAACAGTCTCAGTATTCAGTCAAGATGTGGGAGTTTGTAGGAAAGTTTGTGTATAGATTTTAAGAATAGATTGATTGGAAAAACAACTGATTTAGTTAGTTAAAACTAGTTTAGTCAGATTAAACAATGTAATGATCAAAATCTAAGCAAGCCACTGGTGACAGATGTAATGGGTTTTAAGCAGAGTAGTATTGTTTTCAGTATCATTCTCACTTTGCTTGTGGCGTCAGCTGTATGAGAAGGATTTCTGCTTCTGAGCTTGATGGTTCAAGATCACCATAAGACTTTTGAAAGTTGAGAGAAAACATTTTTTTGGCTAATGTGACTAATTTGTATTGGTTTGCCATACGGATTCCAACCCGATTAAAACCAAAAACTATGTTCAAATAAAATGACTAACACCTTTCATTTTGTTCATCATTGCCCAATTTGCACTTTCATTGCCTGCATGAGCTTATTTCACTAAAATGGCAGAAAAACAGTGATTTTCTCTTTAACACAGACATTTAACACATGAAAAACTTACAAATGATTTTTACTTTAAATTAACTTAAATGGGGGAAAAAACTATTGCAAAAATTCTGATTATCTTACTAACTGTAGTTCTGCACTTCACCAGTAGGTGGTGTCATGTTCACATTGTTAAAGCATTTGGCCAAACAGTTCAATGCCTCATGAGGCTTTATCTCACCATCACTACTTGTGAATGATGTTAGAATCGACACGTCCAGGATGGTGACCTTCCAAGGTGTTGGATCAGTCGATTACCTTTTTCTTTGGTCTGTTCGCAGCAAGAAGAAACCAAACTGCTGGTGGAGAAGCAGGAGAAAAAGGAGCCAGAGAGCTGCAGTCTGGATGTGAAGGTGGAGGTTAACATCAGCACCGGCTGTGGAGGTTTCTCCTCTGGTGAGCAAACCCACCTGTTCAGCGCTAATGCCTTCGTCTGCAGCTAAACACCTTTGATAATGTCAACAATAATGCTTCATTTTAGCTTCAAGTACATTTTCAGATTTCGTTTGGTTGGTTTTTTTATTGAGAGAATTCATTACTCATTATTGACAAATACATCACATTGCTGTGTTAAGTCTCTAATTCAGTTTCCCATGAACAAAAGTTTGCTGATGCTGATCTCCTCTGGTTTCCTAGGTGATCGTCCAGTTTGTAGATTTCTCCATCTGCTGAGAACTGAACTTAGATTCTCAGTGGTATCATTGGGAGTTTTATGTCCGCAGGTCCAGTACGACATTTGTTTTTAACTGTTCAAACACTTGGTTATTCTTTTTGTGTCACGGTTCTCCATCACATGTAGAAAATTAGTAGATCTACATCAAAAGGTGCCTGGATTGATGGAAGAAGCTGCTTTGACTGATGACAGTTCATCATGTTTCAATCTGTTCAGCAAGCTCTGCACTGGTGGCCTTATTGTACTGCAGACAGCCACACAGTTAGTCCTCATGTTGCTGGTCAGGCCTGTTTGTCTGGGATCCTACTGGGCTGTAATGAGCTCTCAGTATTTCAGCCAAAACCTCCTTTGATCTGAAACTGTTTAGATGCCAAAGAGGGACATGGAGCAGTGATTCCAAACCAGGGGTACGTGTACTCCTAGTGGTCCATGTGTGCATTGCTAGGAGTACATGAAAATATTTGATTTCTTTGGTAGTAAAATAAAATAGAGCTGGGATCAGTTTTATTTTTTATTTTTTGTGACCTAATTGAAAATTTAAACAAACTTTTATCAACTGAACTGTAAGTTAATGTTATGTTTGAGTTCACCTTCAGCTTTGATACACATGCAAACCAAGCAGAGGAATAGACTGGATGGAGAGAACAGACAACAGCTATTTTTCACACTGACCTATCAGAGCTCAGGTGTCTTGTTGCAAACAAACTAATTAAGTCAGTCTGACTATAATTTTTGTTCTGTCTTTTGTTCCTAATTCATCAAGTTTTAATGTGATCATAA